TCCGCTTCACTTTGTTTACGCGCGATATACTGGGCGATATTCCATTCAGCAGGATGATGTCAGCTGAAAAGTCCGTTAAGTTGGAGAATGCTTGCATTCCTTTGATTTAATTTCTTAAGACATGCTAAGTTCATGGTTTTGTTATGCTCGTATAACACTTTTACGGAGAATGTCGATAAAACAGTTAGTGAGCTGAATGTATCTTGATTTCTCCTAAAGAACCAATTGCTACAATCATAACTTTGACATAATCATGTCAAAGTTATGATTATAGGGAAGGGTTTTCGTTTTTATTCCTCCTTTGTCATATTTGTTTTTTTTTTTAGTTCAGTTTGTTTTTTTCATCAAGTGATATATTTACTTGATGATCTCAGTATGATATTTGTCTTGTCATGCAATCCAACTACGTACACTAATTTTCTCCGTGACTGCTTTTACCAACAGACAGGAGTCCGTTTTGGTCGGAGCTAGTCAACTGCACAAGCAAGCTTTATCCGTGCTTCAAACCTCTGAAATAACCATGTCGGCGGTAGGGCACGTCAACAAGATTCCAACTATCAGAGGAACGGATATCATGAGAGATGCGAGGCTAAACAAGGTAACTCAATATAGTTAATGCAACCTTGGTTTGCCGGGTTGCCGATCTCGACCTGAGACCACAGTGTCCATACGGTTCGTGATACTGTGCATGCGACCAAGTCTGATATTTTAATTTGGAGCTTTTCCAGTTTAAAACGCCATACGAAGTACCCTTCATACGTTGTATTTTTTTAAGTAAGTTTACACTTAGAAAAAGGTCGTTGTTCTTTCGGCTTTTGTACTGTACCCATATTTGGTGACCATTTAAGTTGTTGGCAATGAATGAATGAATGAATGAATCTTTATTAAGTCATAAGATAAATAATCACATATCCTATGTTACAACATTAAAAGAAGGTATATATATAAATTACAGAGAAAATCAAGATAAAAATTATAAGACTAGATTATGTTTAAAAACTAAGCGATTAACAAACGTGTTTTTGAACCTATCAGTGTTTATTTTAGGATGGTGACTTGTCTCTTTCCTCAGATTGTACTTGGTTAATTTCTTTTTTGGCATTATAGCTCTTAAAGGGTGTATTGTATTATTAAAAACATTCTTGAAGATACGCGTGTCCTGTTGAACTAACAATTCATAAACATTAATGTGATCGGATGTATACAATCTTTATGCAAATCTCAGAAATCTCTTCAATTTCCTACTTCTTATTAAACCGTGTAAGGAAAAAAATTTCTTTAAACATTTTTCTGAGTTAATTTCCAAAAAAATAAATGATGTGGTTTGTGTGATAACATTTTTTTAAAATATGCTTTATCATGTGACTTGCACTGTATATTGTATCTCGGGGAATTTGGTTGATCAGGGTTTAAAAATAGTGCTCGCGAGGAATTTGCATAAAACTTTCTTTGGTCTTTTCTCTCTTACCCCAACGTTTCTTTTATCTTAAGTTTTTTCAATTTTGTAAATTACAATTCTTCCTTTGGAAATATCATGATTATTTTGTCTGTAATTTCATGCACTTTTTAAATTATGAGTATAATGAAAAATCAAACCGTGATAAAGTTTTAAGTTTCTCATAAATATTCATGATGAGTGTGGCTGAATCGGGTTATCATGGAGCTATAGAGCAGGCAATCAGAGCTCTTTGAATCTTCTTCAATTGTTTTTATTTAATGCACTGTTCTAAATTCATAATGTTATGGAAAGTCTGGACAGTTCTTGATTCTTACTGATTTGTCTATACACCCACCCCCTCACAGTAAGTGTTGCAGGGTGGGGGGGTACTTCTTCTGGTCTGAGATTCATGGATCTATCTGTATGATGGAAAATAAAAAGTAAAGAAGCAATCTTGGTAGGATATATACTAATTAGCTTCCATTAAAGCACTTTCCAAAAAGAAGCCTGAAAAATTCAGGCTTTGAGGGGTTTCAAGACAGTAGTTATAGTTAATAAAATTCAGTGTGGGGCTGTTGAGTACCTTTGATTGATTTAGTTGCATATTTGCTTTTTGATAACAGGGAACTGCATTCACCTTACAAGAACGCCAAATCCTCGGAATTCATGGTCTTCTTCCTCCATGCATATCAACTCAAGAGATTCAGGTCCAAAGAATGTATGGAGAACTTCACAGAAAGGCCAATGATCTTGAAAGATACATCCAACTGATGTCGCTTCTAGAAAGAAACGAATCCTTATTCTTCAAAATCTTAATGGAACACACAGAGGAACTGATGCCAATTGTTTACACTCCAACAGTTGGGCTTGCCTGCCAGAAGTATGGTCTGATATTTCGGAGACCAAGAGGGCTGTTTGTTTCCATTAATGACAGAGGTCATATTGACAAACTAGTAGCAAACTGGCCGGTTGAAAATGTGAAGGTATAGTGAATGTAAGAATTAGGTTCAGTTGTTACATCATTTAAAAAAATTGTTTTTGTCAGCAAATGGGAATCATCAATATCTCAAAAATGTATTACTTGATTTTATTTAATAAAGGCTCATTAGAACAACGGTGGTGTTGTCATTAATAAACTTTAATCTTTTTTCAAATTTATTCAATATAAAATTTAGGCCATAGTGGTAACAGATGGGGAGCGTATCCTTGGCCTGGGTGACCTTGGTTGCTGTGGGATGGGGATACCTGTTGGTAAGCTGGCACTGTACACAGTTTGCGGCGGCATTGACCCAGGAGTGTGTCTTCCTGTTATGATTGATGTAGGAACTAATAATCAGGTATATCAGGGTTTATTTGAGTTGTTTATTTATAGTCTGTTCTTATCCTCTCCATCCTTCTGTGACCATCTTTGATCCTTACTGGTAGATTCTACCCTCCTCTGTGTTTGTCCACAGCCCTGTGAGATTTTTCTTATTGTATATTTTTCCTTTTATTTAACCCTTAACTCCCAGAAGTGATTCACATGTACCTTCTCCCTACAATATCTATCCACCACCAGTAAAAAAGTAATGAGAATACTCAAATGTATCAGGTAGAAGTTGTTGTGTTGATCAAACACCAAATTCTTGCAACTAATTTACAAGGAAATGTATAGCAGCTATAGAGAGAAGAATTAACAATCAGATCCTAGGAGTTAAAGGGTTAAACTAAACCCAATATGATGGGATAGAGCATTGCAACTTGAAGTCTCTCCCTGCCAAAAAACTCTCATCTTTTGCTCCAAAGCCAACAGTATTGATATATTTTTGCAGGCTTTACTGGATGATCCTCTCTATATTGGAGTACCCCAGAAACGTGTGACTGGTCAACTGTATGATGATTTGATTGATGAATTCATTGGAGCTGCAACTGCACGGTGAGTTCTACTTATTAGTGACCCCAGCAACAAAAGACCTACATTTCAACTTCCCATTTTTATTTCTGATCTTGTTCATTTTAGTTTTTTTAAAGACTATACAGTCATGAGAAAATGAATTTAAAGTTTTATCCTTTATGTTAGATAGCCAGTTATGTAATCAGGAACCAAAATAATGTAGTATTCAGTGATGTGAGATCATGATGAAGTGCTGTTTTTGTGCCCTTTAGATTTGGTGAAACAGTTTTAATCCAGTTTGAAGATTTTGGCAATCACAATGCCTTCAGATTCTTGGAAAAGTACAGAAATAAGATATGCACTTTCAATGATGATATTCAAGGTAAATTGAAATGGAATAAACTGTTTTATCAGGTGCAATTCGTCACCAACCCATAAATGTAAGAGTGATGTACATGCTGCTCTATAACAATGGCTTTTTTCACCAACTAAGCATTTGCATCAGGCATACAAAGTAGTTCAGTCAATTCCATTGCTATCTTTGGGTTTAAAATTGGCAACTGGATTCACACTGCCTCTTTGTTTACAGGAACAGCTTCTGTCACAGTTGCTGGAATTCTTGCAGCATTGCGAATTACCAAGAACAAACTTGCAGATCACAAGTTTCTTTTTCAAGGTGCAGGAGAGGTGGGTTAACCCTTTATACCCTAACATTAGTGTGCATATTCTCCATACTGTTCTCTATACATTTCTAAAGATGCTGGTAAAGAGAATTTGTCTAGCAGTCAAGAGCTTCTCTAGTTGGTGATCATTACCTTTATTCTTGATTCAAGGTGACGTTGCGGGGAGAGATTAAATGCTAGTCTCTCTTAGGGCTTAGAGGTTAAAGAAAAGTTTTTGAAATTGTAATTCAACTCAGATTGGATTACCACTCCATAGCAGAACTGAAGAGGTGGCCAGGAATAGGTTGCCATTCCCTATATTTTGATATGATCTAACAATCAAACAAGTATTTTCCACCCTTCTTCCTTCTTCCTTGTTCCTTAATAGAAAAAAAGGTAGTTTTTCTCACACCACTCTTAATCCTTTCTTCCTTGGAGAACAAATGCGGCTGCCACCATGAGTGTGCACCACTGACATATTAATTAATTCATTATTATATTTGGGACATTCTTGAGTGGAACTGAAAGAGCTGTTTTGTTATATTTTTACAGGCTGCCATTGGTATTGCTGATTTGCTTGTTCGAGCCATGTTAAAGATAGGACTATCTGAAGAGGAAGCGAAAAAGAGAATTTGGTTGGTAGATTCAAGAGGACTGGTTGTTAAGGTTGGTCATGATCATTTTATGATTGTGAACAGACATCTTACAGTGAGATTTAAAAACAATAAGTTTAGTAAAACGAATCCTCTGTTAAATCATACTGGACATGAAAAGGGGAGGGGTTGTTAGTCTCCTGTAGGTAACCCTCAGGATTTTTCATTATTATGGAATGTCTCTGTCAACACCAGCAGATAGGCAATGGCAGATTAGCTGCACCATGAGTTTGAAAAGGAATTGAAAGAAATTACAAGTGGAGTCTTGAGAATTAGTTGCTTTGTTTTGGTTGCTTCATCGAAGAATGCACATGCATGTTAAGTCACAATCAAGAAAACAGAGAATGCCTTGAATCCTTCTCCATAATTTTTTAGCTATAATTGTATGGTTGTGTATTCCACTTACTGGCAGTATGATCGTGTGTTTTAAATGTAAATGTATTTTAATTGTTGAAAATCTGTAATCTCATGTTTTGTTGTTTTTTCATTAGTCATAGGAGTTCTTTTTTGAGAAAAAACTTTGTTTTTCAGGATCGCGCAGTTGGAGGATTAAATAAAGAAAAACTAAAATATGCCCATGAAGCAAATCACATCAGCACTCTTGCAGAAGTTGTCAAAACCATTAAACCAACTGCTATAATTGGTGAGGTCATCTAATCATATACAGTTTGTTTGCAGTATCAATGGTTTCAATAAGTTTTTCTATAAGCAGGTGCTAATAGGTGGCAATGGCTGGTAAGGGGCAGTGTGATGAAATTCAAATAAGAGAGCCTTCTTGGAAGGCAAAGAGACAGTGGTAAGAGGTCTCACAGACAGACAGTAGATCACTGACTGGTAACAGTGTTTCTTTGAAACCTTGCAATATTGAAAATATTTTTCTAAATATAAGTTAAAATTGTTCTCTCTGAAACTATACCCAGAGCAAGTTGGTTGGGGGTGGTTTGAGGTCAACAGTGTTGAAAATGTATGTTTCCTTTTTTTTTTTTTTTATTTTTTACCTTTTCCTGATATATGGATTAAATTTGTCTGTTAACAAGAATTTCAAAATTAATTAATTCAGTCTAAACTTGCCTTACAAACAAGGTTACTATGATTACATTTTGCTGGCACTTTTTTCTTTTTAATTCATTAAGGTACTAAATGTAACGTTTTAATTTTTTTGTGTGTGTGTCTTGTCTTGTTGCAGGTGTTGCAGCAGTGGCTGGAGCATTCACTGAAGAAATTGTCAAGGCTATGGCTTCCTTTAATGACCGACCCATCATCTTTGCTCTGAGCAATCCAACCTCCAAAGCAGAATGCACAGCAGAACAAGCTTATATGTGGACTGATGTGAGATGAAATTGAGTTTGATGTGGTCTGTGCTAGGCTTTTAGTTAGTGGAGCTAACTTCTTGGTCAGTCCAGATGATCTCAAAATATGTGGGGGAAAATTTTTATCTTTTTTTCCCCTGACCAACTTCCTCTCTTGACCAATGGGGTAACACAGAATGTTTGATATTGGTTTTAAGGGCTGCCTGCTATTTGTAATATGTCATCTCCATCATTATTTATGAAAACGAAACAAAGAAGACCTTGCACAAATGTTAGAAGTTAAGATAGTTTGGCAAAATGAATCTTTGATTTGAATGGATATATGTTTATTAGTGGGTGTTTTGTGATTATGCATGTAAAGAGTGTTGTTGTTTCCCATCATGGTAAAGGAAGGGAGAGGGGGAGAGATTTTTGACCAGAGGGGGTTGTTGAAAGGTTCCATAGAGAACCCTGGAATAAAGAGAAGAAAATTCAACTGGTTTAATATTCCTGCTGTTGTTAGGGTAAAGCTGTGTTTGCCAGTGGTAGTCCATTTGCTCCTGTTACTCTCGCTGATGGTCGTCATTTCATACCTGGCCAAGGAAACAATGCCTACATATTTCCTGGTGTGGCATTGGCTGTGATTGCCTGTAAAGCTCAACATGTGACTGATGACATGTTCCTTCTTGCTGCAGAGGTAATTTTTGAAATGTTCTTTGCTGAAATAATGATTTAAACCCAATTTGCATGATATGTCTTAAATACAGGTCACAGTGTGCAGGGGCACAGGCCATGGGTGGTGGGTCTTAGGTGACAGGTTGCATATTGTAGGTCTCAGGTCCCTGTTATTGGGTCATATGCAACTGATATGCAATTCTTTCTCAATGATGAAAAACAAATTAAGGTAATCAAGAAACAATAGAACCTTTTTTATAACACAACAAAAACAATATAAACAGTGAATCACATATCAATGATACAAACTGCATGAACAACTTAAAGCAAGAACTTTACAAAACTGATACTGACCCTCTCCTCCTCCTTCTCAACAAAACTTTGTCTTTGTCAAATTTGAGGGGGGGAAAGTGGAACAAAAGCTACACCTTCAGATGGGCCTCTGCTAAAGTAAAATCTGTTTATTTCAAATTACTATATTTGCAAATTCTAGTCTTAAGATTGTCTTAGTTAGAGCAATTTTATCTTAACAAACCTTTTATCTCTCACGCCAGTCCTTAGCCAATCAAGTGGAAGCATCTCAGTTGGAGAAAGGTTGCCTATTCCCTCCACTGAAAGAAATTCGAGAGGTATCCACTAAAGTGGCTGTTGATGTGGTGAAACTTGCATATTCCAGTGGTTTGGCAACTATTCATCCTGAACCCGAGGATAAGGAACAGTTAGTAAAAGACAACCTGTACAGTCCAGATTACATGTCGTACATTCCACACACCTACAACTGGCCCAAGGAGTAAATAATTACTGCTTCCAGCAGAAATGAAATGGATAAAACAAGACGGTATTTAATGGTGTGGGAGAAAATGGAATGAAAACAAATAATAAAATGGGATTAATTGTCCCTTTTTTTTTTCTTTAGTGTTCTTATTTTGAACTTTCTTAAATTTTATAATTTAATTTTATAAAACATGTATAGGGAAACGATCTGTAATAATTAAATTATTTTGAACTCTTTTAAGCTCCCAAAACATAACAACCTCTCATTGAAATATTTAAATGATAAATTGCAAATGTTAAATGACTTTTTTGGAAAGAATATTGATAAAATTGCAAAAATAAAACATCATCCACCAATGGACAAAACTTGACTTATTTGTGTTGTCAATTAATTGATTATCAATTCTTGACCTAGTAAAGCAAAGAACTTGCTACTACAAAGATATGTATTCAACACTTTCCTTAGTCGAGTTTTAACCATTTTTATTTTATTTCCCGCTTATGTTGCATTATGATCCCTTCCCCTTTCATTCCTCTCTCTGTTAATCCTTTACACCAGAACATCGGTATGCATAGTCTAAAATGAAGAGTTTGCGTACGCTATACGGACCTATATTTATTTCTACCTGTGTTTCACTTACACACTATCCCATAGTTATCTGTTCTCAGGCTTTATTCTTTGTTCTGGTCAAATTTTTTTTTCTTGAAACCCTCCGAATCCCTGATCCAGAGGAAAATGGTGCTTTTTCTTCTTTAAAAATTGTCGGAACTCATTCGTACAGAATGTGAAAATGGTCGCTTTCCGAAGATCAGCCGACATCCTCACGTGGCTCGCTAAGAACCCTGGGCAGGAGGAAGTCGCCATGTTGGGTGTTTGTGCGAGGGTGGAAGTTATGCGGTAGGTTTTCAATTCCTGCCAGGCATTGTCACCGTTCAGTGGAGTTGGATAAAAGACTGGGATCTTGGAGTTTATCCTACGGTGTTGGTTGATTTTTTAATCAACCATGCCGTTAATAAAACGACAGGTCAGTCCGTCCGAATTAAGTCGTGGAAAGTTAGAAGATGGGTTTAAGAGTGAATTGGAAGCGGTGTCTGTAAACACGTTATGTGGAATCATGCGACAACTTAGTAGCATTTCTAAACACGCAGAGGACCTTTTTGGAGAGTTATTTGCAGAAACGAATAATATCTTTCAAAGAACGAACTCCCTTCATGAAAGAATGCAGAATTTGTCCATTAAAGTGACACAACTGGACTCCAATGTGGAAGAAAGTAAGTGATCAAGTTTATGGGTGCTGAAAGAATATATTGCCTACTTTGGATTCCTCGACCAGATTTGTTGAATTCTTTTGTTCGTGGACGACGGAAATCGACATCATCTTGCTTGTTAAAAATACACTTTCTTACTGTTGATATCACCTTTTTCATGAGCTTACGCTGTAGAAAACTTGATATTTTTATCTTGATTCAATGAATAATTAAGCGTCGCTATTCTTATTCTCGTCTTGGTTGGACAAAACACCATACTAAATTGAGGGGTTACCCTGATTTAAATCGCGAAATTGTTCTCCTTGAAGTAAATTTTGTTCGGAAAACTTTACCCTCCAATCATAAGCTTAAAATCGTGTTTTCTGAATAATCTGGTTACGGTCATTCCTCGTCACAGTGATTGCCTTTCGATACAAATACAAAATATGTCAAATGGGTTAATTGTTTCCAAAATTTCAGTTGTTTTCCTAATTAACGTTTCAGCTTTCCCACATTTTGCTTGTTTGTTGTATGACTGACAAGTACGTTTAATTGCTTCTATACTTTAAGTCTTGAAATAACGATTAATAAAAGGAGTTTGGAGGGTTATCGTTTAGCAAAAATGTTTGTTTCTTGTGGCTTTTAATGCGAATGTAAAACAATGGAAGGAAGTTTGTCTCTTTATCTCTGACACCCTCTCGGAAAGGGTCAGCAGACTAGTGCTGTTGATTGCACAATTCCTTGAAGAAATTGTGTTCCATTGAGAAGACTCCATAACTTAGCTTCCTGTTAAATTTCAAAATTTACTATATTGGTCATGAAAAGATGGTATGTTCTAGAGTTTGTTTGATGAGAAATGAGGTTTCTAATAACAATTTCTTTGCCATCTTTTTCCCATGAATGTCTTATTCATTTTACATTGATTTTCCATTTTTAACTGTTCTAATTTCTTCCCTGAATTCAGTTTCTTTACAAGACATAAACTTGCGCAAAGCCTTCAGGAGTACAATTGTGACAGAACAACAGGTTCTGGCAAGCAGCACTCTTCCCTCAGCAATGAAGGAGAGGTACAGTGGTTGTGACAAACCTCCAAGACTTCAAGATATGAATCCTTACAGAGATGACAAAAAGGATGCACTCAAGTTTTACACTGATCCAACTTACTTCTTTGAGCTATGGTGTGAAGAGATGAGAAAAGAAGTAGAGAAAAAGAAGAAAAGAAGGGTAGGTATTTCTGCTTTTGTCTGCTGCTGTGAAACTTTGACACCTTTTCAACAGACAGATCAGGTGTAGAACTAAAACCAGTTGCAGCTCTGCTACCCTAAGATTACCATGTTATTATTTTTGTTCTGCTCTGTTGTTTGTTTTGTGACAGTTTTACTGTACTCAAAAAAGCCCTCTTTTTAAGATCATCCCCTCATCCTGTGATGTTGTATTTCTGGGCTGCACAATTAATTGCCATTGACAGTACCTCTCTTTGCCCAGGAGAAGGAATGGATGTTGACAAAATGTCAGTGAAACCCAACAAATTTCTTTTATTGGGGTGACTAACCTTAACCCACATGCAACCTGAGTCAGCTGCAACACTTTTAGCCTCTTAATGCCAAGGAAACTAGTGCTAATGAATGAGTAAGCATTGAGCTATGGGTATATTAGCAATGACCTGAGCCACCAGGCATTTATAAGTTAGATTCTGTTTTGTTTTAGCGGGCTGGCCGGGTGAGGGCTGGAACCAGCGAGAAAAAACCTGTCAAGGCTGTGAAGAAGAGAGTCTACTGTGCACAAGGTGAGGAATTTAAAACTGCTGGCATTGCTACAACAACACCTACTACTGTTACAGAAGATAATCATAAGCCTGAAAGACGTAATACAGAGTACTCTAAACAGCCTAATGGTGGCATCCCTGATGGTGAACCACCCAATCATATCATCAGTCCAGGTGATGGAGCAGGAAAATCAGGTTCTCCAGCTCAGCGAAGACAGTCTAGACGGTACACTGGTAATAACATAAACCGTCCAAATGTAGCACCACCTCCCCCACCAGTCCCAGCAATTGGGGGTGGGCCTCCTCCTCCTCCAGCTCCTAATGCAGCACCTGCTGGAAATGCAATTCCTCCACCACCACCGCCACCAGGGGTTCCTGCAGCTCCTCCCCCTCCACCACCACCTCCCTTACCAGGTGCAGGAGGAATGCCATCTCTAAAGCAAGCTGCATCTCAGTCTTCTGTTGGGTTACAGCCAACAATCTCACCATCTTCAAATTCACTGACAACCTCAGAGTCAAGTATAAGTGTTCAAAGTGGAGACACACCCCTCCCTCCTAAGGAACAAGTTGATGCTCGCAGTGACTTACTGTCTGCCATCAGAAGAGGTATGGAGCTCAGGAAAGTCCAAGTTCAGGAAGCAAAGAAAGAGCAGCACAGTGACACAAACGGTATCATGGATGTGGCGACCATCTTGGCTCGTCGTATTGCAGTTGAGTACTCCTCTAGCGAGGATGAAAGTGAGACAGGTTCTGAATGGTCAGATGGGGAAGATGAGTGAATTATTTTGTATTGGTTTCATACTTTTGAATACTTTTGATACTTTTAGAATCAACAAATGGAAAAACTCACACAGAACAGTCATTGATAGATTGAGGGTTCTTGTGCCATCTTCCAAGGCCCAAAATTAATTTTGTACAAGTGTGAGGTATGTGAAATAATTTCATACAGCCTCCGTTCGTGGATTTTGTATCACTTTTTATATGAGTATAATACAACCCAACCATGTACAAACTGAATCATATCATACTTTTGTCAGTGATAATTTGTTACAAAAAGGTTAAGGAATAGTTACAGATGTGTGATATTTGATGGGAAAATGAAAGTTTTTTAAATTTCACTATCATTGAAAAATTTTGAATAAGATGTTGAAAAGTGTAACATTAAGGTTGAACCACAGTGGGCAACAATTTGCTATCACAGGTCTCTACTACAGACTGCCCCTTTTATCTAACTCCAAAATAAATTGGCAGAATGTTACTTAATAATTAATTTCCTCTCAACAAGTATACAAACAAATTAGTGCCAGTTTGAACCTGGGCAACTTGTTTTGTTCTTTAGCTAGGACAAAGATTCTGACCAAAATTCTCCATGTGCTATGAAGATAATTTTCCTTGGAACCTGTTCAATTGTCTTGTTACAGCAAATAGTCAACTGGTTTGTTTTACCCAAAATAGTATTTTTTTAAGGGTGCTTGCTGATTGTTTAAAGAAGCTTGAACTGCAAGTCAATTTTAAGAGTTAATTATTGTTTATTGATGTTGTAACTTATGATTGTTACTTTATGAATTAATTTTACATTATTGTCTTATTTTATGCTTTATGTCTCTTTTGGTGCAACAAGTCCTTTGATTTCCAATTTGGTTTGCTAATGTTTCTGACTTAAGTGTCTTGGTCTCCCCCCCATCCCTCCCAAAAGATAACAAAAAGGTTGCAGTAAAGTTCTGGTAGTAATCACCTTTTTTAACCTTTTAATCCCTACGAGTGACTGGCATCCAATTTGTCCTCACTTTATTACCATTGATCCAAACATTTAAGTCATGAGAATGAAAAAAAATGATCACCAACTTGTGAAGTTTGTGATTGTTAAAGAAATCCTCCTACTTAGTACCATAGAAATGTATGGAGAATACTATAGTTAGGGCATGAAATAAGAAAAAGGAAATGCTGGTAAATGGGCAACTAAAAAGAGTCATTTCTGCTGGAACTTAATTACTCTTTTACTTTTGGTGTACATTCATACTTTGGTCATAGGTTGCTTATGAACAGATCAGATCTTTATTGAAAATATTTGTTTTGTCACATGTTTTGTTTCCAGAATGGGTAAACTCCTCTTTGGCTGGTGACTGATTGTTTACTTTACAATCAATAGCCAGAACTGTTAAGTGTGACTTTGCTATTTTTCTTAATGAAGAGAGAGCTAAATGAGGGTAAACATTTAGTTTTAACCTTAAAAATCTGGAATATTGATACATGTAGCTAAAATTATGGCAGACTTGTAAAAAGCACTTTAAAGCCACATGAATTTTTTTTATAAATAAAATATGGTATCAACTTTGTTGTTATCCTTTGCATTGCTTTAGTATTATACTTTGTCCACGCCCTTCTTCTTTTACAGCCAGGACCAGGAAGTAAATTTACTCTTAATTGTACATCCACTTTGGTTTTCAAAGTGCTTGATTCTTTCTTTGACAACAGTCCTTTTCAGGACAATCCTTACCATAAAGATCACAGTGCTCTACCTTTTAACCCTTGAAAAGTGACTGGCTTCTAATTTCTCTTAACAGTATGCCCCTTAAATTAAATATTAAGGTCGTAAGAATAAAGGAAATGATCACTAATCTAAGTATCTCCTGATCGTCAATTCTCTCAAGGTCAACACTGGCAAGTTAATGCATTCCTCAACTGTTTTAAAGATACAATAAATCAGAGTTTTTACACTTTTTATTTGCATACAAGAAAACTAGGCCAATACCATAGCCGTGATAAACATACAAAAATGTTAAGGAAAAATTTCTTCAACAGAACCCCAAGCCAAATTAAATCATACTTGATCTCATACCTGTAAAAACAACTTCTTATAATTGTATTGTCAAAGTGACATCACTGACTGATTGTAGCTGATCAAGTCTCTCAACTTATTCCAATTGGGATTAATTTTTTGTTTCCAAACAGAAGACTAGAGGGCCTGTTGATATGGAAATGGGGTTAGATAAATTATATTGCTCAAAAGAGTGGCAAGTTAGGTGGAGGGATTACAGTGTTTTAAAATGCGATTTTTGTACCCAGTAAAAAACTGATGAAATATAAATATTCCTTAATAACTTTATAACAACCAACAGAAGATCAAGAAAAATATTACAACTTTGATATCCTCAAATTGACTTTTTGTAGCAATAAACATTTAGAGAACTTAACTTATAACACAATGTGAATGTCTTCGTCAGAGAGATGGAACCAAATCCATAAGCCTTGAGGGACAATATATATATATATCCTCAAAGGAGTTTTACCAAATGTCTTCAAGGGTAAAATTGAACAAACAGAGTAGGGGAAGAGTGGTATTTGGTTAAAGGTGCTAACTTTAAACATGTGTTGAAAAATTTTTATCACAGATTTAAAAGGACTATAATTGATGAAGTTGAAAAAATTAAAACTTAATTTTCAAGATGAAAAAATCCGATGGCATCTTTGATGTACTACTTCAGAAAAATTGCACTCTTCATTTTCAGTCAAAGTGAACTACAGATGTAAATTTATTTTTTCTTCCATGTTCCTGTCTGTTTCTGTTTACTGACTGCATTCTGTGTCTTGGCATAACGTTCTTCAGATCCCTCGATGGAACCAAGTTTGCCAGATTGATAATCCCTAAAAGCTTGCTCTATCTCCTCCCATTTGTTCATAACAAATGGTCCATGCCTGGAAATTGGTTCATTTATTGGTACCCCTGCAATCAAGAGCACATGAATGTCTTCATTGGGACTTGCATTTATCTGAAAAGTGTTTCCTTTTCCAAGCACACCCACCTGCAAAAAGAAAACAAATATGAATTTCCTTTATGAACAATTTAATTAATTCAAGTTTCTTTCCTTATGATTGTTTTAAACTTATGAAACTTAACGCAACCTAAGAAAAGTGAGTGAAATTTTTAAGGGAAGGGGGCCCTAGATCCAAGAGAGGAAGAAAATTATTATAAGGCTTAGTAAAATTCTGGAGGTTTCAATCTGTGGATTTGTTTTGTTTTGTTTTTTCCGTTTTGTGGCTAGGAACCAATTTTGGGATTTTCTGTTCAAGTAGCTCAACATGAACTTGGAAAATTGAAATATCTTTAAATTTTCCAACATGTAGAGTTATGTGGAGGCCAGAGGGAATGCATAGAAGTTGAATGAAAATCTTTTTATTTTTTTTCTTGTAAATCCTGATCTGACTCTTTTTTTATTTGTGAATCATGTCCATGTGAACAATTTTTTAAAATCATGAATTAAGTGCTGAACTAAACCTAATTCATAAATCATCTTGTTTTGGGTGATGAATTTCTGGCTATTTTATTGTTTTGGAAATGAAGGTATTGTTCTCAAACAACTGTGGTTAAATTTTGACCAGGATTTTGACACAAATAGGTACTTCATATGGATTGATAAAGGTCATAAAACAGACCACCAATGGTTCTTGAACAAATAAGATAAGACACTACTTTGACACCTAAGACTTGTCAAGACTAGAAAAGTAAAAATATAATTTCAATGCAATTGTCTTGATTTTGCGTGAACATGAAAGAGTTTTTGATTTTATTTGTGATATTTATATTTATAAATATTTTATATTTTTATATGATGAGTTTTACAATTGGGTATAAGTGACCCTCTTTGTAGAATACCCAACTGGCCTAAAGGTCCCAAATTCATTTCTACCAAAGAGTTTTTTAAAATGGCTTAAGATAACTTTGGCAATTTTTTTTTTTATTTACCATTCCCATCTCCACAGAGACTCTTTCATCAGTGAATGAACCAGCTCCTCTCCAAACATAAGCAAATCCATCAAATTGCTCAGGAACGTCCTGAACAAATGATCCACCAGCCTGTATATGAATGTCCAGGAACATGATTGGTGTTCGTGTGTCTATAACAGCTTTGGCTCCCAAGCTTTCTCCTGCTATAACTTTCACCTTGGTTTTCCCATCTATTAGGAAAAAGAATTTAAGAGATGATGAACAATTGACCAACTTCAAGCCATGAGTTGCTCTTGGCTGCATTCAATACAAATTTTCTCCCACTTCATTCTAGTAACTAAAATTCCTTGCATTATTATTTTGATAAGCATACTGAAACATGAATAAATAGTTTGTTATACAAAGAAAGAGAAGCCAAACTGTTCTTAGACCCACAGCAAGGGAGGCACTGAAACCACAATAGAAAACTTAAAAACCACTCAAACTGTACCCAAAGTAAGACTTAGGAACCCGAAAAGTCAATAACGAAAACAGTTCTTTACAATAAAAAATTAACCCCTTTAAATGATTCAAAGCTTTCAATGGAAAAGTTTTAAGCCATCTAGGATCATGATAAAACAAAAATAGTTATTTTTAGAAGCATATTTAAGGATTGGAAGAAAATCTTACAAGATCAAATCATACCTGGACTGCTAACCACTGGAATTTTCTTAGCATCAGTGTCCTGGTACCTTGGTTTGATCATCTTCTCTTTTGCAGGCAAGTTTACCCAGAGTTGAAAGCCTTCTGATCTCCCACCTCTCTTTAGAAATTCATCAGATGGCATTTCACTGTGGACAACACCAGATCCTGCTGTCATCCACTGAACCCAGCCTTCTTTTAAAACACCATTATTTCCAGCACTGTCCTGGTGTTTCATCTCTCCTATACACAAAAAGACATAATTTAGGTCAACCTTCAACACCCCTATATTCCCCATACTCATCTCTATGCATTTCCTTTGGTACTGATGAGAAGAATTTCTTTAACAATCAAAGCCTCTTAGGTTGGTGATCATTTCCTTGATTCTCACGTTCTCAATAAATGATTCAGCAGATGCTGGACACTTCTAAGGTTTAAATAGTCAATTCCAAATAGTGAATAAGAGTTTGAAATATTAAACTGGATTTTAGCATTGTGCCGTCTTCTCAAGGAGATATAAATTTCTTCACACACACTTTCTAGGTATGAAAAGAATTTGGAGAATTTTGCAGAGGTCAGAAAATCAGAGAACCTGCACTAAACCACTTGTAGTAGAGACCTAAAAATTCTAAATTTGCTCCCTCCCCGCTGTCATTGCAACGTAAATAATGACGATAAATTTGGTCTCGATTTTTTTGTTAAAGGAAAACGAGGAAATAGAGTTTCCTTTTGCTTATTCTGACCATTTGAGCTAGTTTCCAAACATTTGATCAAGTAAAACGAAGAGATTTAATATTTGCGGAAATGCTGAGTAAATAAATCATCGAAACACAAATTGGCCTAATTTTCTTCGACATAATCTTATCTTGAGTTGCAGATCTCGATTCTACGATGTTAACTGGTCAGACAATCTATGTGTACTCATTTCGGTCGATTTTTGGAGAGGATTTAAAAGCTTTGACACTAATTACGTAATTTGATAAGTGTCACGCTATAATTCGATTGGTAAACCCCTCTTTTTTATCTTAATTTTGAAAATAAAAAGAAACTCCTGTCTTACCGTCAATGAGATAAGTAACGGTTTCAAATCCACGATGAGGATGATCAGGCGCTCCTACAGCCTCTCCTGGTCCATAAACCACCGGTCCTAAATGATCCAACATAAGGAACGGATCACAATGATCGATGCGATCTCCGACAGGTCTTCGAACGAGAAATCCACCGCCTTCCCTCATCTGTCGGGACTTTTCAACACGGGTAACACCTCGAGCCACAACCATACTGTCTTGCGTCTTAAGATCTAAGTAAAACACCATCAATGACAACAAGTATATAAACTTTGTCGCGTGTCGACACAAACTTTTGCGTGCACGAATTGTTTATATGCCAGCTGGCCTTGACCCAGCATGCAGTGCGCGGAACGGATGACAAGGCGAATTTTCTGCGCAGTCACGTTGACTTTTTTACCCCTCTCTAGTGTAACGTCAGTGCGTTTCAAACAATTCGAAACTTCTTGATGATCTCTTTCCGGAAGTAGGGTACATAAAGTAGTAGGCGTCGTTTCCTTAAAACGATCACGTAGCTTTTTCGGCGTGAAAAAGATGCTGAATAAGACCAGGACACTTCTCTCAGACGGATCAATTATATACTTCATACCAAAAAGTTTTGACAAGTTTTGCAAGTTTTCATTTGTATTTGCTTTGCTTGATTCAAAATAAAGTCGGACTTCACTATGCAGAGCACTATTCAGGCAACGTTCAAAAACAGATCAGTTGCTACCTAACCAAGAAAAATTGGGAAATTTATAATTTGTACGTGAGGATTACGGAATTGTTCAGTACCTTTTCTTAAGGAAAATATATTTTAGGCCTAAATTTCATATGATTTTCATATATCTACAATCATTATTCATCATTTGTACGGTTTATTTGGACCCAACTTAACGACCAGCTCGCAGTTGGCTTGTTAGCTCAGTTGGTAGAGCGCTGCACCGGTATCGCAAAGGTCATGGGTTCAAATCCCGTACGAGTCATCTCGCCCGGAGTCATGTCGCCCGAAATCTGAGTCGGGTTGCCCGAAATTTTAGTTATGTCGCCCGAAAAAAAAGTCAAGTCGACCAAAGAAACAAATACTAAAAACATCAGAATTTCAGTGTACGTTAGAGTAACGGTTCTAAAAGCGTTGTTCGTTGGTATGTACTCGTTTCTTACTCACGGACATTTCATAAGCTTGAGAAACTCTTTCTTGGTTTCTAACCATACCATGAAGACTTTGACTACACAGAAATCGATCGTATGGTCGGAATTGAAATATGTTTGAGTGACGATGCTAAAAGCGTTTTTCGTTTGTAACAACAAAATGAAGCGTTGACCTTTTACCGAACGTGAACTTTAACAACAGAACTTTACTTGTATGTTACGCTGCGTCCGTGCATTTTTGTTATAGAAATGAACAACCCTTCCCTTCATGGTATTGTAAGAAACCAAGATAAAGTCAGTTGTCAAGCTTACGAAACGTCCGTGAGTAAGAAACGATTACATGCCGAACGAACAACGCTTAATTTTGTTATTAAATACGAACAACGTTTCCCATTGTTCAAAAGAGCGAACAACGCTTATAGAATCCTCATGGTGTTGTCGGAAACAAAGGGCGCTTTAGTGATAACAGTCTCTCAACTTTATTGCCTATTTCCAGTCTGAAATTTAAGAATTTGTTTATGCTTAGCGTGCGTATATCGAGTTATGGATGCACGCGGGATGTTTGGAGAGCACGAAAAATACGTAAGAGTAGCTCGAAGCGCAGCCGAGAGCAACTCTAGCTTTTTGAGTGCTCTCCAAACTTCTCAAGTGCATCCATAACGAAAATATCGGGCAACATGACTCAGGTTTCGGGCGACATGACTTTGGGCGGGATGACTCTCGGGCGACTTGACTGTAAACCGCTCGAGTGCAGTCTTAACGTTACCTGTATAACTAGAATTTGACTTCTCAATGCCATGTAATTTATCCCCTTTAATAAACCTATAGTTTCATCCTTCAAATAAGAGAGAGGATTAAAATGTTTTCCGTTAGAATCCCTATGTTTTCACTGTCATGTCGTTGCTCGTGTATCACATTACATTCCCCAAATTCCCGGAAACAGATTCATTTCAATTTCGGATTGTTTAACTGGAAAACAATAGCAGTGGATTAGTAATGTGCAGAATTTGGCACTACCAAACCGACTGTGCAGAAACTGAA